GAGGAATGTATGTCTAACGGAGTGCTCGCTGGCTTTCCTGTTGTCGATGTACGTGCTGTTTTGGTAGATGGTTCTTACCATGATGTTGATTCTAGTGTGTTGGCATTTCAACTGGCAGCCAGAGGGGCTTTCAGGGAGGGGATAAGGAAAGCTGGTCCAAAAATGCTTGAACCTATAATGAAAGTTGAAGTTGTCACACCTGAAGAACATTTGGGTGATGTAATCGGTGATCTCAACTCAAGAAGAGGTCAGATTAACAGCTTCAGTGACAAACCTGGTGGTTTGAAGGTATGTTGATGCTAAGTAACATGGCCCAGTTTTATTTTTCCTTAATCTTTATTTATCAACTCTACTAAACGGTTTGGTTTGGGAATAATGCAGGTGGTTGATTCCCTTGTTCCACTGGCAGAGATGTTCCAATATGTTAGTACACTTCGAGGAATGACGAAAGGTCGTGCATCCTACACCATGCATTTAGCCAAGTTTGATGTTGTCCCTCAACATATCCAAAACCAGCTTGCAGCGAAAGAGCAAGAAGTTGCTGCTTGATTGGATTTTCCAGATTCCCTGAAGAGGTAGCATTATATTTTTGTGAAATTGATACTTTTTATTCAAGTAACCAATTTTTTTGTTATTTGTTTTTTACTGCGTACCATTCTTATATGTAAAATGCAAACGAATTTATCCAGAAAACAAGAACAAAGACACTGTTAATTTCTAGTATTAGAAACAAGGCAATTGATTAACAATATCAATGACAAAATTTGATATAACACTATTTCTAGTTGGGCCAGTTGAAAGTAGAAAATTTTGGTCGTCCCTAAAAAATAGAATAAACATATATAAGGAGAGGAGGGTGGGCAAAGAAGGATTCAATTAAGGAATGTTTGTCTGATAAAGGCGTCCAGTTCTCTTGTGAATGGCATCATTTCATAGCACAAAATAACAGAAATATTAATAGATATGATGGAAGAACTCAAATGAAGAATGTCTGATAATCTTAGGAACCCCATTGATAAAATTTTTAGTTGAAGGACCTAACTGAGAATTGGTGGATATTCGAAAGAGGAAAAAACTATGATATTAAATAAGTCTCATGCTTACCCCGTAGAGGTGCTTGGAGGTCCTAAAAGGACAACATTGCGCTTAAGATTTGAATAACATGACGAGTTCAAGCTTTGGAAAAAAAAAAATGAGAAAGAATTTTAGAAATAGGGAGTAAAAGCCAATTTAGCGAGGCTTGCGCATAATTTTCTTCGGATTGAACTCGCCGAATTCCCTATGACCGTTATTAAAAATATACGTTCGAGAACATTTTTGAATCGAATAACAATTGTACCAAATGTCTGCTCAATCCGAAAGACATTCTTATAAATTTTTTTTTTTTTGGAACAATCATTATGATTTGAGGTTCTTATTTCATGTGACTCATCTCTTATGTGTATATTAAGCCTAATACATAAAATTTAAAAAGAAAAAGAAATACTGATTATAAACCGAGCACTAGTGTTTTTACAAGAAATTTTTAGCCAATCTTCTTATTAAAAAACATTTTTTACATAAAAAAATTTGATACTATATAAAAATATATAAAAAAAAATTACAACAATTTCATCGTTCTCAACCTCCCTTAGTAAATAATAAGGCTCCATTTGTTTAGCGGAAAGTAATTTTTATAGAAAAATCAATTCGAAGAAACTATTTTTTAGGAAATTGTTTTTCAAAAAGAAATATTTTTTGATATTTGACAATTATATGAAAAAATTACTGAAAAATATATTCTAGCATTCGTTTGATATAGAAAACTGAAAGACAAAAACAAGTTGTGATTGTTGCATCAACGAGTTTTGAGAAAACTTCAATAAGGTATATTTATAATTTCACAATATAAGATGCATTTGGAAGGATATAATAAATTTTTATAAATACCGACTCTAAGATTTAAATTCAAAAAATTAACAAATAAAATATATATTTTTAACTATCAAACCAATTCATCAAAACTACTTAGGACAAAATCAAGTCAATATTCACATTTAGTAAAATAATAATAATAATAATAATAATAAGTAATCCTAGCATTATTATTTTGGTAACTCAATTAAGAATTCTTTTCTTTTCTTTTTTTAGAAATTTAATTGATAATTTAGTCTAAAAAATACTTTTACAAATTATTAGTTATCATTTGTAGATAATTATTCATTTGATTTCAAAAGATTAATGTTGAAATAATTTGTTACTAATTATTGACTACAATTACCAACAAAATTTTACAATCGATTAAAATTAATTATAAATTATTGATTTAGTTGCTAATGAGTAGAGCTAGGAAAATAATATATTTATTAATGAATTAATTAGTTTTAAATTTTTCACGGATAATTGTAGTCATGTAATAATCATTTTCAATCATTTAAGTATAGTTTAAGTGGTGTTTGGAATAATGGTAAAAAAAATAGAGATAGATTATTGAAATATTTATTATAAAAATAATTTTAAGGTGTAAAATGATTTTTAAGAATATTTAATGTATTTATAAATTGAAAAATCAAATGTTAGTAGAAATAGAGAAAAAATAATTAAATAATTAATAATAATTGATAAGAAATAATTAAAAATTAATTTGATATATTATCTATAAATTAATTTAAAATATATCAAGATAGAGATGAATATGCTTTCAAACATCGGAAAATACTCTATCATTTTTTTTAATTCGAAAAATACTTTATCAAAAATGCTTTATCATTTTTTGTTAACTTTTTCCTAAACGCAAAACAAATATCAAAAAACGAAGAAAAAAAAAAAAACAAGTTAGTAAAACTTATTTTTTTCAAACAAACACAGCCTAAAGTATGAATGTGATAGAAAAGCAACGAGTATGGCCTCAAGGAGAACACCAAAAAAACCTGATTTAGCTCCATGTAAGGTATAGCCAAAGTATGGATGAGCAATTGACATGAATTAGAGGAGGCAGAGTTAAAGATTCGCCAGGTTAGTTAGTCTTCACTAGGAATAGTAATGAACAGATATCTAACTCATTAATTTAAATTTTTATCCAATCTATCAAAAAAATACTTTACTCGTTACCTATTAAAAAATCACCACGTAAATTTCTACCCAATTTATACTCGATCTATACTAGTTTATTCGTTTATTTAATACTCATTAAATATCCATTAAATTTAATTTATCAAAAATATTCATTTTAATCTTTATAATGTTTAAGAAAAGTTTTTTTTATCCTTTTTTTTTTTTGCATTTTAATTATTTATTTATAAGTTTTTTTTGGTCCTCAAAGTTTTCAAAAAAATATTTTTATCTTTAATTTTTAAATTTTATGTAATTAAATCTCGATATGTCAATAAAAATTTTTTTAATAAATTAATGTATATTAATAAGATAAAATAATAGACCTAAAACCATATTAATAGACATATGTCTTTTATCTTTATCCATTTTAATACCGATTGAATATTTTTAATAAATATTTATTAGATTGAATAAAATAAATACCGATTTTATATCTTACCTATTGTCATTCCTAATTTTCACTCTCCCACGACCTAAACAAAAGCAAAGGACACAAATTGAGCTAAGCGAGACCCAACAAAGTGATCTTATTCATTTGTGCATCGTATGACAATTCTAATTATACAGACAAATAAATAGCAAGCAGAAAGACTGTAACAGGAACATTCAATCTTAACAATATAACAACATGATTCGAAACAACAGTTTTGATCTGATTTTTCAGATGAAGGAGCATCATGTTGATGATGCCTGGAAAACATTTTGGGACGAATATCATGCCTATAGATAACCTAAAAACAATATCGTATCTGTTTGGTTGTCTTTTACTTCCTTCGATCCCGGATGAGACGAGAGAAAAACAACGATCTTTAAGATTAATGCAAAATTATCAAGTCTTGCATAAAGGAGCCACTACACATGACTTGATTGAATTTATTTCAATTATCCAATGTAGAGGAGTTGAATATTGGATGAGAATTAAATCATATTAAAATATCAATTTCAATTTAATTTTGCTTAATTTAAAAAAAATCAAAATAATTTTAATTTTCAAACTCGAACTTTTTTTAAAAAAATTCGATTAATCAAGAAACTAAAACTATAAAAGGTAAATCACTCACTACATTTTCAAATTGAAAAACCCTTCTCATTTGAATCCACTTTCTTTCACAACTTCATTCATGCTCTTTATATTTTTATTAAAAATCTAGATATTTTTACTAAAAATCTAAATGTGCATAAAATAACAAAAACGATAATAAATTTTCTACCACCTTCAATTCAAATCTTTTTAAATATATAATTTATTATATACTTATATATCAATACATTTGTTATTTTTTTTAACACAACTTTATTTATAACTAGTGGTCCACAAAATAAAAATAAAAATAAAAATAACCCACACTATCAATACATTTGCTTTTCTTTTCTTTTTTCTTTTAACACTAACTTAATTTGCTAGTTAATAATCTATAAAATAAAAAAAAAAATCCACTCTAAATAAAAATTTCAAGAATTTTAATAAAATCAATCATCTATAAAATAAAATAAAACAAATAAATATTAAATTATAAAACACGAAAACCTAAATATTTTTAAACTAGAATCAAAAACCAAACAACATTTACATTTCAATCCAATTTCGGTTTTTTTTTTTTTAAAAAAAAAATTCAGTTAATCATTCAAAATATTTTAAAATCAAACCGAAGAGCCAAAGGAACACCCTAATCCAATGTAGAGGTCCCTCACGCAAGCAAATATAAAATATTAAAAAAAAAAAAAAAAAAAACAAAACAAAACAAACAAACAAATATATCAAAAACTTCCCCAACTTAATTGATTTTTACCATCTGGTCCACTCAAATTCACATTGAAAATTACAATTCACTGGTGAAAAAAAGTAAAATCGAAACCCAAAAGTAAAAAAAGTGCTTGTCCTTGTAACTAGTTATTTGCATTCAAATCTATCTCATCTGAACGATTCCAGCATGGACAAGCTTTTGAATCTTGCTCATCACCATCGGGTTCTTCATGTGTTCCTGAGCCGACTTGGGATTCTCTTGGAAGTCAACCAACACCTGCATATTGAGACACGATGCATTATTATCAAGCACAAGAGCAACCTCCTAGGATTTGCAAGGGAAGGGTGTCATGAAAGTTTAAATCATTACCTGTCTCATAACAGGATCTGAGAGAATGTTTTGAATTTCTGGGTCCTGCATTGCCTTGGCCTGCATAATGGAAGACAAACTCAAAACCAAGATCCAGATAACACTCAACTTTCTGATCATAAACAGCAGTCGAACAAGTAATTTTACCTGTCTCTCCTTCAATTCCTCAGGACTTAGGTCACCCCGGCTAGCCTTATTGAGCTGCTCCACGCATCTGTAAAATATGTTGGATACACAATTAAGAGACTCTCCGCCATGGCCACACCTAAATGTAAACAAATCTAGATGAAAACAAATACCTTCTGACACCATCTAGCAACTCCTGGTTCTGGGGGTCATGTTTCAGACCCTCCTGATAAGTTTCCAAAGCTTTATCATACTCTTTCATGAAGAATTGAATAGCACCTTTTCTTGTATAACCCTTTGAAAAAGTTGGATCAAGTTCAATGCACTTCTCTGCATCTTTCAATCCCTCAGGCATAGCCCCCAGTTTGGTGTAGCATGCAGCTCTGTTACTATATGCCTGGAAACAGCAACGAGCCATGCATTACAGTTAAACAATTGAAACTCCTCGCATACATAAGAAAATGCTCGGACAACTGTCATTACCTTGGGATCTTTAGGATTCCTTCTCAAAGATTCTGTGTAGTGCTTCACAGCCTCTGGATACTTCTGCTGCTTGAAATATTCATTGCCTGCAAAAAGTGCATACCAACACATTATACATATATTTGAGGAAAGGAATTAATCAAGTACCAGAATGACCAGCAACTGAATATAAACAAAGAATGGATACCTTTCTCACGCTCTTCCTCAGCCAATTTAGGATCAAAGTATTCTTGTTGCTCAAGATCCTTCTTTGCTTTCTCTGCCTCATTTAGTCTCTTCAGTGTGTCTGGATTGCGATGCTCTGTTAGAGCCTTCTGGAAGGTCTCAATAGCAGGTTCATAGTCCTTCGAGCATTTTGCCATTTTCGCCAAGGCAGTTCCTTTCCTTGTCAATGCTCTTGCTACCATCTTAAAGTCTGATCTAAGCTCTCGACCCCTTTCAACAGCTTTGTCACAATCTTTGATACATTCATCATACTGAAAATTACAGTATTTGGATCAGAAAAGGGTAATGGTGAAATCAAATGGTAACAACTGCAGCTAAATGCTCTGTTCGGTGGAAAACCATGCGCAAATAAAAATATAACAGAAAGAACAAATTTATGATAGAAGAAAGCGCAAACAGAAGCCTCAAAAAATAGGTCCCTGTGAGCATAATTGCATCAAGAACTTCATCAAAGGATAGTAAGCTAGTCATACTATAAGTGATCACCTAAATTTCTCTCGCTTGCTATAAAGAAAAACAAAATAACTATATTGCAAATTCCATTCAAGTTTGAGCATTATAGCCCAAATTTCATACTATTCAATCGATTTCTAGACAAATTTCCAAACTCTTAGATAGGAGATCCCTAGTCAATCTCTTCCTCAAGAAATGTAGTACACTGGAATAATTACCAACACTTGCAACTCCGCTTGGAGCCAAACATTTGAAGAGAAAGGTGAGAGAAAAGAGAACCTAGTGTTTCATAAGGAAGCGGTATGAGACAGATATATAACTCTTCATTAGCAGATTCACTCTACTAGCAAATTTTGGTTACATGCTTATGTGTCCATCAGACTCCATTTAAACTCTTCCTTTCTAATAGTCACCAAGGAGAGAGAATCAAAGCTATAATCTAAGCTCTGTGAGGACATTAAAGACTCGTCCTCTAACACCCTATCACACAATTCTCACCCTACATCCGCGGCCCAAAAATAGCATGTACAAGGAACTTAATCAACAGTGGAATATTATACAGTTTGGGACTACCCATTACTAAAATCTAACAAAAAGTGTATTCCTTTATGATAGTTAGCATTAGGCAAGAAGAAAAAGCCTTACTATTAGGCAATCATTCCGAATCTATAACAAAATAATAAAAAATAAAAATTCTTTTCTTGTCATTTGAAAATCAGAGAACCCATCAAAGTAAAGCGAGCAACATAACCAAAACCAAACCAAAATAAACAGCAAAATTTTTAATTTACCTTTCCCATCTCCAAAAAAACAGCAGCACGATTCGTCAAATACGAAATATCCTCATCATCAAGCTCCATTGCCTTTGTATATTGCTCAATAGCCTTCTCAAATTCCTTCTTTTTATAAGCAGCATTCCCCAACTCCTTCTCTTTCACTGCTTGCGCTTTCCTCTCCTTCGCTTCCTTATCCTCCGTCACGTCCATTGGCTCTGGTTCCACCACCTTCTCCTCCTCCACCTTCCTCTCCGGCGCAGACGGCTGCGGAGTAGACGTCTCCTCCGGAATCTCCATATCGTCCCCTGCATTCGGCCCTCTAAACTTCACATTCAACAAAACCCCCAAAGCCTGCATCACTCTCTGATCCTTCAAGTACAGATTCAAATTATTAGGGTTTTTCTGGATCTCTTGCATCATCTTAACAAAATCCGGCTGCTGCAAATACATTCTCGTCGACGGATCCGCCGTTAACTTCGCCCACATCTCCGGACCGGAGAAAGCATCACCAAACGGACTCGGCGGCGGCGCTGCACGGCTCCTGGAGGCAGCCGCTTGAGCATCAGCCAAGCCGGATTTTAACCCCTCATTATTAGAATCAATCTCGAGTCCTTTCTTGTACGCAGAGATAGAGTCTTGGATTTGGTTCAGGCCGAGGTGAGCGGCGCCGAGCCGAGAGTAACCTTTCGACCAGTCCGGCTTCAGCTCAACGGTTTTCTTAGCATCTTCTAAAGCATCGGCGTAGTTGTGGAGAGAAGCGTGAGCCGCCGATCGGTTGGAATAGAGGACGTGATTGGTTGGGGAAAGAGCGATGGCGTCTGTGAAGTGTTTGATGGCAGTGGTGTAGTCGCCGGATGAGAAGGCCGCGTTGCCTTTGGCTTTGGCTTCTTCGGCCATGCTGAACGGTGTTTGTCGATGTCGTTTAGGGGATTGGGGTTTTTATTTGTAGAGATTTCTTTTAGACAGCAGTGAGTTAGAGGGAGAGAGGGCTAATATAGGGAAAGGAGAGGACGAGAGGGTTCTGGTGATTGGAGAAGAAGAGGAAAGCGGATTCTGGAATGTTCTTTTTCGAGGGGTTTTGCTAATTGGATTTAGATTCGGGTTCGGGTTCGCTGGATGGAAAGAGGGTGTTTGGTGACGGGGGTAAGGCTGTGAATAAGGTGCCTTTTTGTTTGACTAATTTGACTGATTGGCCATGAAACTATTTTTGGAATTTAAAAAGGGCTTTATTTTAAATTTTACAGTAGCAGTGACTTAAAATGGACAAAAAAAAGATATTTGATTTTAAATTGGATTTAGTTTTCTTTTTTTTTTTTTTAATTTCAGGAATTTAAAGGATTGACTTCTGTTGGTGCAATGTACAGTGACTTATTTTTAAGAAAAACAGTACTGTACAATCACTTAAAGATTTGAACTTTAAAATCAAAAAAAATATTTTTTTCAAATAATTAATATGATTGATGTGTTTCTACTGTAGTTGTTAAAATTAAAAGACTACATCCCGAAATTCACCTTTTTACCGTCTAAAATACATAAATATCATCAATTAAATTCCAATGTAAATAATTTGAAAAATCAAAGTTGTAATTTTTATTCAATTTAACTAAATTATCATGACTATTTATATTTTATAATACGACATAAATAAATAAAAAGATTTTGTATTCTTGAAATTTAATGAAAGGAAAAAAAATCAAATATCTTTTTTTTGTCCATTTTTCTATCTTTTTTTCAAGATTTTTTATTAGATAGATAGAAAATTTATGTTTAAAGAAAAATAATTAAAAACTCAATTTTCAAATAACTTGAAGAGAGGGATGCATTCAGAGGTTGTCGTTATGACATGATGACAATTCAGCAAAGAAGAGCATAACCATAACTGTTTTTTTTTTAAAAAAAAATAAATAAATAAAAGGATTTGTCAAAAACCATCTTAACTAAAAAACATAAGCTCTCCCTCAAGTGAAGCTTTTTAGGCTTTAAACCCCTCAAGTGAAGTTCTTAGTCTTGAAATTTGTATAAGTCTACACTATATTTATTAATGTAGGTACCCTAAATCCAATCTATTTAGATAGTTTGTACATTATATGATTTCATATTTTTTTAATAAAGAAGTCTTTTTATTAATTTATATTATTTATAACTTGATTAAATTAGATAGAAATTTATATAATGTTTATTGCTTTGGTAATTGATCAATACATGTAAAACAAAAATCAATGTATTTGAATGAAATCCTTAAATATTTCAAGTCATAGCATTGTTGAAATTAGACATTGACAACATGCGATAAGATTTGTATGAGCTATATTGCTATTATAGGATAGCAAGTAAAAGATCTCATACCTATTGACATGGTGATAACTAAGCAAGCACACAAGTGAATGATGTTAGAGAATATATCACTAAATGTGACTCACCATGAAAACTCATTTGATATAGTTTATGGGAATTGCATATAAGATAGATATAAGTAGTCTTTTGACTTGAAATTATCACGATTATTTCATTAAGGGATTGATATAATTTGACATTTGTTATGATGGGCTCAATAAAGAGCCGCATGTGAGCAATTTATTGGGTACATCGTAAATCTAAATAAGATAGATGGTTGACAAGATAAGACATGCTATTCTTTATATGCTAAACGAGTTATCACATTGCACTTCGGATAATGTTTGCTTAAGAATCAGTAGCCGAGTGGGGGTAAAGCATGATCGGTTTACTTGAAAGCTAAGACATTCAAAGATTGAAGAAAACTTATATGATCATAATTGAATAGACACCAAATCAAGTTCGAGATCACATTGTGACAAATTGACATGAGAATTGAATTGTATGGAAACCATTATCGTGAAAGGTTGTTGCAGATTAAAGAATCATTCTTGATAATTGAGTAGTTATGATATCTTGCTAGAGTTCAATCATTATTTATGTATCGAGGGATAAAAGAATCTTCTTTTATTTCTCGATACATTGCCAACATATATAGAAACTTAATGAGTCATACACATTAAGCTTGACACTAACTTAGATAAAGAAAAGCAAAGAATTATGAATAAATAAAAATTGAAATAACATATCTAGAAACTTAATGAGTCATACGCATTAAGCTTGACACTAACTTAGATAAAGAGAAGCAAATAATTATGAAGAAAATAAAAATTAAAAAAATTGATTTCAATTCTTTAAGCACTAAGAGAATTTTGGGAAAAAATTTCTCGAAATTGACTAAGGGTGATTTAGAAAATAGTTTTCTAAATTGACATGCATAAATATTCAACCTAATTTATTTGTATGATTCATCCATCACTAGGTCATTGGGGCCGGGATGTTGGACTAATACGTTTAAATAAAAGACTACAAGGGGTCTTTTAAGAAGATGGTTGTTTTTTAGAACTTTTAGAAAAAGTTTATTAAAACCCAAATTAGTATTTTAATAAATATATAAATAGATCGAGCCATCCTCTCTCTTATAGACAAGTTTGGCTAAAATGCCCCCAAAGCTAAAAAGTGGAATTTTCTTCATTGTTCAAGCAAAGTGGAGCTAGCATTCTCGAATTTCTACTTCTCTTGTATTGGTGTCCAAAGTCGTGTGGATTATCATCAAATACCGAACACTTGGACTGTTCCATCCGTATCCTCATGATTTTGTTTCAAAAGGTAATGAATGAAGTTTTTTATTATAATTTATTTGATTCAACGATGATTCTATTCGCTATGATTGGAGAAAAACAAAAGGTTTTGTTTATTCCGCTCTTATGTAACAATTTTTTCCTTCAACACTCGTGTTTAATTAATTAGAAGAAAAATAAGGGTAGTGAAATTTTAACTCGTGACTACTTAGTCAACAAAGCTATGATACCATATCAAAAAGTCATCTCAACTCAAAAACTTAAATTGTTATGAGAGGCTTTAGGAATGATTTTGTATGGAACTATAACATGATTGTTATTTTTTATACATTTATATATTTATCGTATTTGATTTGAGTATTGTATGAACGTATTTCTTTTCCCACGTGTATTTACACACACACACACACACACACACATATATATATAATGTAGTGTTGGTCGATGAGTATAAAATATTATTAACATATTTTTGAATATGAAATTTTTAAGTCATTAGTTTTATACCTTGGCTACCTATTATCTCCTAAAATGTTTAAGAATTTATACCAAAAACAATAAAATAATAATAATTATTATTATTATCAATGACAATGTGCAAAAGTGCAACTTAATTACACGTAATAATAAACTAACGAGTATGTTGTTTAATGGTACATGTAATAAACTATTTGATTAGTTCATCTCAATGTATCTTTATGCGCATACCGTTCGATGAGAAATAATTAGAAGATGTATCTTCATGCGCATACCGTTCGATGAGAAATAATTAGAAGATGTGATATCACTCTCCATATGTTATAACCATACTCTCACTAATTTATTTTTATATAAATTGACAACTATAACCTTTTATAAAAAAAAATTATTTTATCTCTATTTACTTATGTCTCTTTTGATGCTCTCTCCTAGAACTATCGGTAGATCTAATTTATTCTAATTTATGATGATGATGATTTCTACTTGTAATTTAAGTAAAAATTAGATAAAAACAATTTTTGTAATAATAAGTAGCCTAACAACCATTTATTTATTTATTATTTATGGGAGAGATAAGGCTCTAGATAAAAAAAATTATCCGTTACATAATCTAGGAAAGATCACTCCGAAATCTCTTATAAGAAGAGGTTAATGCATCTTAATGGGGTATGCTAAAAATATGAAACTTCAAGCGAAAAAGAGTAAATATGAAAAACAAGCCGATCCAGCCATGCGATTGACTTCTCTATAGGTGTGATTGATATGAAATTACCAAGGCTTCTAAAGAAGTCTACAAATAGAGAAAATTAGTTGACTATAATTCCCACAATGACCCTTAGGATTTTGAAGTAAATGGATTGTCGCCATATAGTCGGTTTCCCGGAGAATGTTTTGATATCCTAAATTTTAAATCATTTCTAAACCAACCAATATGCCTCAAAACTTCACATTCGGATTAGAATAAATTCTTATTTGATAAGAGAAGCCATGTAACCTTTTGATTTCCTTTCAAACTAGTTATATTTAATTGATATTATGTTATGACTTAAGCAAAAAAATTATTTTCATTTTCCATCAAAACTTGCTCAACGAACATCCAAATATAACTCTAAATAAGGAGGAGAGAATGTAATTTGAAGCTTGACATTAATAGAAGTACTTATTTGATGGAAAAAATGCTTTCTTTGCTCCTTACATAGACTCGACGAGAGGGAAGGAGAGAGGGAAAAGAAAAAGGATAAAAAGCTTGTGACTATCCGGTGTTGTCTTCAAAGAGAACTAAACAAGATAAATATGGTAAAGAAAGAGCTCTCTAGCACTTTGAATAACTTAAAGTAATAAAAACTCTCTTTTTTACCTCACTAATTACCCAACTAATTGTTTCATTTCTGCTGCTTCTTTTTTTAAGTAAAAACTTGGGATTTGAATTGGGTTTTGCTTCAATTAATCTAGGTTTGCTTTGTTTTTATTAGAATTTGCTTTAAGTTTTTTCAAAATATGAATTATTTGGTATTAAACTTGTTACATTATAGTTCCCTTTTGTTGGAATAATAGTTCATGCAAAGAGGAGTTCAAAGAGAGAGATACGAGAGGGAGAAAAATAAGAAATAATAAGAAGAGGCCAAATATGATGAAAATTTCTTTTCCCTTGGTATCATTAAGAAGGTTATAATCTTGTGTTCATATGTTTGTTTTTATATGTTATGTCTCATTTTGGTTCTTGAATTCTATTTTTTTTAATGTTGATTTTATAGGTTATGGTTTAGTCGTAATTTATGTGTT